AAAAAAAAAAAAAAAAAAAAAAAAAAAAAAAGTAGCAACTCATCACATATTAAGGCATCTTCAATCTTCAATACTATTAACAAACTTTTTTTTACCAGAAACTGGTGGCCAGAAGGCAATGAGCCAATGTTTCAAAATGCTAAAACACAAAAATGATAACACAAGTATCCTGTAGTCTACAAGCTATCCTTCAGAAGTGAGGGAGAAATGATGACATTTCCAAGTAAACAAAGGTTGAGGAATTTCATTTACCACTAGGCCTGCCCAGAAACAAATACAGAGAAATGTTGGGGGAATAATGCTGAGGAAAAAAGTCTGTGCAAGTTTAGTCAGATGCAATTTTTTTCTGAATATTTTTTAACTGTGCTGAATGTGCAGACGAATGTGCAGCTGACAACCTAGCAATATGGAGGGCCAAATATATTATTATAACTTTTGTTTGTGACTCTACACAGTTTTCTACATAATTTAAGAGATTTATGAATTTGAAAGAATTATTATTTTATTTTGGGGCACACAGTGTTATAAATATGTGATTTTGTGTCATCAACAATTGAAAGAATTGGAGACAGAGCTGAAAAGGAACAGTTTTTCTGTTACCGAAGTTAACTTGGCTTAATTTTAAATTACAGTGCTATAGCTTTAGGATGTTGAAATCTAATCCCTGTGATAGTCATAAAGAAAAATACCCACAAAATGTACACAAAATGAAATGAGAAAGGAATTTAAATATTTTCATACAAAATGATCATATAAACCCAAAAGAGGAGAGTAATCAAGAGGCAGAAAGACATATAAGACATAGAAAAGGTCATGTCTTGTATTTAGCTGTTCCTCCAAAGCCTCATGTGGATGAGGTGGCTGAATCTAGATGTGTGACGCTGGGATTAAGGGCCTGTGATTACTAAACCACTACATGTGAGTGACTGGTTTGGCACCACCCTGGTCCCAGTAGTGTGGGTGGAATAAAAGAGGCAGAAAGACACTTTTAAGGTCTCTTGTTGCTTTTGCTTTCTTCCATCGCATTAACTGTTGCCCCTGTGCCACTCTTCCTCGGAGCCAGCCAAATAAACCTTTCCCCTTTTAACTCTGGGTGTCAGATATTTTGTCTCAGCAATGAGAGAAAAGTAACCAACATGGAAAATAAATAGCAAAATGAGATTTCCAAGAAGTGCATAAATATATGAAGCAAAAACTGACAGATTTGAAGGGAGAAACAGACAGATCAATAAGAATTTTTGAAGACTTTAATATCCTACTCCCAAGAATGGAAAGAACAGCCAGAAAGCAGAAAATAGAGAATGTAATACAATAAATCAACTAGATTTAAAAGATATGAAACACCCTACCCTAAAGGCTGCTGCTGTACGAATAAGAATGGCAATTCCTCAAAAACAATTACATTTCTTGGAATATACCCCAAAGATCTGAAAGCAGGATTTCTTTTTTGGGGGGTACCAGGGATTGAACTTGGGTCCTTGTGCTTGCGAGGTAGGCGGCAGAAGCACTGAGCTAAATCCCTGACCCTGAAGGCAGGATTTCAAAGAGATACTTGTATAGTCATGTTGATTACAGCCTTATTCGCAGTAGTCAGAATGTGGAAGCAATCCACTGAACAGAGGATATATGTATATACATACAGTACATATATAACAATGCATTGTGCATTTCCAAAGGACTGAAAATCCTAGGATATTCAAAGTTTATGCCGTAAAGAAATATATGAGGAGACAGAGGTTTTTAATGTGATGCAAACATCACACAATATATACATGTATACATGTGTATATTGAAACATGTTACCCCATTAATATATAAAAATTTTGGCTTTAGGTATTAGATTAAAATTTTAATTTAAACAGGGGCCAGAGATTTAGCTCAGTGGTTCTACCACCTGCCTCACAAGCACAAAGTCCTGAGCTTGATCCCTGGTACTAAAAAAAAATTCTTTTTCTAATTTGAATACAAAATATTATGTTAAATTGATAGAAAGAACTTTGGTAAATAGTGTGAAACCTACAAAATGTTAAGAAAATATAGAATAACTGCTGTCTTTCACTTCTGTAATTTGCTTTGCTTTGTTTGTTAGGACAAAAATATCAGAGGTTTCACCATTAAAGCTTTAAGGCATGTAGCCCCAGTTTAAAATGTTATAAGATTAACAAATGCCAGAGGTGCTTAGCCACATCCCAGAGTGAGACCAGATATTCAAACTGAGATAACAATTGCCATGCCCTAAGTCCTAAACTTTCTTACCAGTCCTGATTTCCTAACCCTGACACTCTTGTAAGCTAGGATAGTTAAAAATAAACATCCTAAAAATAATTCTACATTTGGGTTAAAATTGAACTGTCTTGTGACCATTATTTGTGATGGGAACTGAGAGAACTGGGATGTTTTTTCGAACTACCTAACATGAGGTCATGATTGTAAAACTCCTATAAAAGGCAGACTGTAACCCAGCCCAGGGCTGGTCATTTAGCACAGCCCTTGGTGCAGGCTGACCCTTTGCTAGCAAAGTAAACGTTCTTTTGGTTTTACCCACTCTTACATCTCTGTGTATCATTTACCAGTTTCTTCCCCAACAAAGTGAACTCAGTCAAAAGAGGCAAATAATTTTTATTCCACTTCTATGATGTACTTAATGTACTCAAAAATCAAACACATAGAGATTAGAATGGTGGTTGCCAGAGGCGGGAAGTAGGAGAAAGGGAAAGTTACTCTTTAATGAGCACAGAGTTTCAGTTTCATACAAAACTTACACAAATGCAGAGTGGTTATGGTTATGCAATAACATGAATGTATTTAATACTCCAAACATTTAAATATGGTAAAGTGATGGCAAATTTTATGTTATGAAGATTTACCAGGTAAAAAGAAAATATGGCTGGGGTGTAGTTCAGTGGCAGGTACATGCTAAGCATGCAGGAAGCCCCAGGTTCAAGCCCCAGGACAACAACAAAAACAAGTAAGTAGGGCTGGGGATTTTAGCTCAGTGGCACCACATCTGCCTCACAAGTGCAAGGTCCTGAGTTCAATCCCTGGTAATGGGGAGGGAGATTAAAAGTAAAGGTAAACAAAATTTCAATAATTCAAAAGAAGTCCAGACAGGTGAACAGAGGAAAAAACACAAAGGGAAACATGTAGATAACAAAGAAAATACTGAAACAGCTGAACTAACACATAGCTACAAAAGCATGTTTCATGAAGAATATTAGATATTATTTAAACTTGGTCCAATATCTATTAAAAATACTTTTTAATGTCTGAGAAAATCACTTTCCAGAGTACAGTCCTTTAAAAAGCAGCACTTTCATCAACAGAGCCTTCGGGCCAAAGTAACATGATATTTCATTTTCTATCAGACAAGGGAGCAAAACAGATCTCTTTATAATGTGACAAGGGAGGGACCAAGAAAATCATCGTATAAATTATAATATCCAAAGTTTACACAGAGACATGCACACAAACATGCATGCACGCATGCATGCACGCACACACATACACACACACACACCTAGAGAAAGGAAAGTATTTTTTTTTAAAAAAGAACTTTAAAAGTGGAGCATGTCACAATTTTTTTATGTTTCCCCTCAATTATTTTCCACAGAGAGTTCTGTTATTATAGCACATACAGTTTTCCATTATAGAAAGAAATTGTGTGTGTGTTGGCTCTGAAAACTATAAGAGTGATTGCAATTTATCTATTTTTCCTAAGCAAAATCCAAATCTCACTAAATGTAAAACAGATGTCATGGATTTCTTCCACAAACTGTAGGCACATTTCAATTTCAACTAAAGTAGTCAGAAAACTAATTCCACATGTCTACTTAAATATAAAGCAAAATATAAGTAAATTCTTAGGAATATTAGGTCTAAAATTGGTATGTATCAAAAGTTAAATCACTAAAGTATTATTAGCCACTCATACATTGTTGGTGGGAATAACATGGTAGTTCTAAAATACAGTTGGCAGTTTATTATAAATTTAAATATACCCAGGTCACACAACTCAGCAATTCCACTTCTAATTACTTCTCTTAAAGAACAGAAAATTTACACTCACATAAAAACCTGTAATGAATGTTTATAGCAGAAACATATGCATGTATGTGTACGTGCTCATAGTAATCCCATATGCACAGGGAAGGCCCTCAGTGATGCCTGAAACTGCAAATAGTAGCAAATCCTCTATATACTATGATTTTCCCATACATACATAACTAGGACAAAGTTAAATTTAAAAATTAGGTAAAATAAAAGATTAGCAACAAAATCTAGTAATAAAATAGAATGACTTTAACAATATACTATAATAAGAATTAAATGAATATAGTGTCTCTCTCTTGAAAGAAGCAAGACAAATACTAACATTTTTGGACCATAGTTGTGTTACTTTTCTGTCACTGTAACAAAATATCTGACATAAACAACTCAAAGGAGGAACGATTCATTTTGGCTCACGGTTTCAAAGGTTTTAGTCCATGGTCAGCTGGTTCCATTTCTTTGGGGCTATTGCAAGTCAGAAGCACCATGGCAGAAGGGCATGCCAGAGGAAAGCTGCTTGTGTTGCAGAAGTTAGGAAGCAGAGAGAGGGCAAAAGAAACAGAAGAAAGCGGGGATGAGATACAGTAACCAACATCAACATAGCCTATGATCCACTTTTCTACTAGGCTCTATCTCCTCTCCCCATTACCTCCCAATAATGCCATCAAATTATTATCTCATCAGTAGATTAATCCACTTATAAAGTGGATTACCAATCAGCAACCAAGTCTTTCACACAATGAGTCTCTGGGAGGACATACTGGATACCAACTATAACAATTGGTAACTGAAACTGCACAAAGCAAAACTGCAACTAAAGAGGTACTACTGTATAGACATATGTATATACACAGAGATAATAGCCTATATTATATATTACGTGTCATATATATATATATATATATATATATGTACAGCTTGCTATATGTACCAAAAACTAAAAATATCCTTCAACTGATGAATGAAATACATACTACATCCATACAGTGGAACATTATTAAATACTATTCAGAAATGAAAAGATTAGAGTAGGTTTTGCCAGGGGTTAAGAGTGGGATAAGAGCCATGTGTAGTGACACATGCCAGTAATCCGAGCAACTGGGAGGCTGAGGCAGAAGGACCAAACCTTTGAAGCCACCTTGAGCTAGAAAGTTCAAGACCAGTCTGAGCTCCATAGCAAGATCTTGTCTTAAACAAACAAAAAGGGTGGGATACCACTGTAGAGAGAGTTGGAGACAGCGGCACTCACCTATAGTCCCAACTACTTGGGAGAGTGGGGCAGGAGGGTCACTCGAGTTTAAGGCCAGCCTAGGTAACATTAGGAGACCCTATTTAAAAAATTGAAAAAGCTAAATCAAACAAAAACAGAAGAATTGCAGAGGGCCTAACTACAAAAAGATAGCATAGCTGGGCATGGTGGTGCATGCCTGTAATCCCAGCACTCAGGATGCTGAGGCAGAAGGATTGCTGCAAGTTCCAGTCTAGACTACATAGTGAGTTTAGGGACAGCCTGAACTACAACACAAGACCCTGACTTAAAAAAAAAAAAAAAAAAGAAGCATGAAAGTTTGTGTGGGTGAAACATTTCAGTATCTTTTTTATGGGAGCCAGTACCAAAATTCATACATATGTTAAAAATCAGACTGCACACCAAAAAATTCCAACTTAACTAGGTTTTAATATCTTTTAAAATGACAAGATAGGCAAAAACTGGAAATTATTCATATATCCATAAAAATATAGAAAAACTATTTTAGGTAAAATATTTTAGATATTCTAAATATTTATCATATTTTATCTAAGTTGCAATATATTCATACAATGACATAACATAATGAAAAAATAAAACTTCATGTGACAATTACTATGACTCATTAAGTTAAAAAAACAAGATGATAAGAGGACCGTATAATACTGAATTTACATAAAGTGCAAAAATAGGCAAAATGAATCTACAGCTTTTGGCATTAGGATGGTGGTCAAACATGATGGAGATAAGGAGTGATGAGAGGTGTGTTTGGGCTGTGGGGAGCTGATTTCACACATGTGCTCTGCCATTTTCTGGCATTCACTGAGCCATATACCTAGGATCTGTGTGCTTTTGTGTATGTAATGATGTTCTGAGAAAAAAAATTTTTTGTTTTTTTTGGTTTTTTGAGACAAGGTCTCACTATGTAGTTGAGACTGACCTGGAACTCACTATGTAGCCCAGGATGGTCTCGAACTCACAGCGATCCTCCTGCCTCAGCCTCCCAAGTGCTGGAATTACAGGGTGCACCATCACGCCTGGCAGTCTGAGAAAGTTTTCTAAAAACTCACAGCTCCTCCTGCCTCAGCCTCCCAAGTGCTGGAATTACAGGGTGCACCATCACGCCTGGCAGTCTGAGAAAGTTTTCTAAATGACAAAAAAATATGCCAGTCAAGTAAGTCCATTAGTCTACAAATACAGAATAAAATCTTTTATTAAAAACTTACTATGCACCAGGCTGGGAAGTGGGGGTAGAGTAGTAAACAACAACAAAAGGCATAATTCCTTTCCCATATGAAGGACAAATTTTATGCATGATACAAATAATTTCAGATAGTTAGAGGCAAACTAAACCTAGAAAAAAATAGAGGAAACCATTTTAGCTCTGGTTAGAAAAGCCAGGGAACTGGGTTTTAATGCCCACACAGGTCAAAAGATAAGACCAATAAGACCAGAGGCCTGTATAAAGCGAAGAGCTGGCAGCACTCTGGATACATGTGTGCTCCTTCAGCTACAACTGTAACGGAAGTTAAACTAGGAAAACTCCACCCTGCAAGCCCAGGGAATGAACACAAAGGCTTGCATACTCGGGGTACAGACTCTCCTAAGGAAAGAAAGGACACCAGTGAGCCAGACTCTCATGTTCTTATGGAAGAAGACTCTCCTTCCAAGTAATAACCACCTTCAGTTTCATCTTCCCTTCCTGCAAGCCAAAGATGTCAAGTTGAATAGATACTGTTTTCCTCTCTGAGCCAAGGTGAGGCTGCTCAGTCTGAAGGTCAGGGCCTTAGAGAGATTACTTGATTAGACTGAAAGTACCATGACAGGAAGTTCTGTGTGATAGTGCTGGACTGTTAGTGTTTTGACAGTGTACTGGGAAAGTGAGCATCTATAACTGTAGAAGAAAGGTGAGTATTGGAAGCATCACCACAGCTCTATACAGCTTTCTAGAATCTCCAAGAAATCAGAGCTCACTAATGGCTCAGGAGATGTGGTAAGAAGATACAGAAGCGTGTGCCCTTTGGTCACCTGACCCAGACAGCAGCAGGACCAAGATGTGGACTGGCTGCTGCGGACCCATTTGATGTGTCTGAAATTGATATTATTTCCCAATGTTTATGATAAGAGTTTATTTAAGAACTTGTCGTTTTAGGAAGGAATTATTCTGGGCCAAAGAATAAAGGATGTTAGTTGAAAAAAAAAATTAGGGCTGCAGGGCATGGTGGCGCACTCCACAATAGGCTGAGGAAAGAGGATCACCATGGTTCAAGGCCAGCCCAGGCTACATAGTGAGTTTGAGGCCAGCCTGAACTACATAGCAAGACCCAGTCTCAAGGAAAAAAAAAAGGGGGGCTAAACACTATGAAATGAGCATAAAGACAAAATATATAGAAAGCAAATAGAAATTTGATCTAAAAAATAAAATAACCAAATTACAAAGTTTACTTTATAGGTTCAGTTGCAGAATAAAAAGTCAATGAATCACTTCTTGCTTGGCCTTTTGTCTAAGATCAAGTGTAAAAGTCAATGAAAGTCAAATGTGGTGGTATATGCCTATAATCCTAGCACCTTGGAGGCTGTGGCAGGAAGATTGCAAGTGCAAATCCTGTCTGGCCAATTTAGCAATACACTGTCTCAAAATAAAAAATAAAAAGGGCTGAGTATGTAGCTTAGTGGGAGGGTCCTTGACTCAACTCCCAGAAAAACAAGGACAACAACAAAAAAGTCAATGAACTTGTAAACAGATTAAAAGAAACAGTCCAACTCAATAAGAGAGAAAGAGTAGACTGAAAGAAATTAATAGAGCCTCAAGGACATGTGATACAATACCAAAAGGCCCAGCACATTCATTAGAGACCCAGAGTCAGAGGAGAAAAATGTAAAGAAAAAAAAAATATTCAATATGGATTAAGGTTGTATAATAACTAAATTGGTTCAGCATAGTTCCGGATGTAGCTAATGGAAGCCCCAACCTGGGTTTGGCACCAATCAACAGGCTGATAGCCTGGATGGAATATAACCGGAAAGATGGAAGGCCAGCTATGCCGCCTCCTGCCTGCCATGCCTCAGACTCCTCTGCCACGCACCCCTCCGAGCCAGACTATGAACCAAAACCTCTAGACTGTGAGCTAAAATAAACCTTTCCTCCTCCAACCTGTGCGTGGTGGGTAACAATCAGAAAGTAACTGAGACACAATCCAACCATACCAACAAATATGTTAAAGGTAAATGAGAAAGAAACACAAATGTAAAATTACAAAAATTTCCCCAAATTTGAAAGACAGTCCAGTTTTTAGACATACTAAAACCATCAGGAAAAAATAGTGAAAGAAAGAAAATAAGCCAGCACACTCTTTTATTTTCTTTTGTGGTATTGGAGATTGAATCCAGGAGTACTGAGCTACATTTCCAGCCTCTTTATTTTCAGATACTATAGTCTCTTATTAAATTGCCGAGGCTGACCTCACTTGTGGTCCTCATGCCTCAAGCTCCAAAGCAGATGGGATTACAGGTGTGCACCACCATGCCCATCTAAGCAAACTTTTTTAAAGGATAACATACTAAATATTTTAGGCTTAACATCCATATGGTTTCTGTGACAATGACTCCACTTTCTCCTTCCAGCATGAAAGCCACTATGGGCAATATGTAAAGGAATGGACACAAATATGCATTTAAATAAAAATTTTTTTTTGGCAGTACTGAGGATTGAACTCAGGACCTTGTGCCTGTGAGGCAGGCATGGTGCCACTGAGCTAAATCCCCACCCAATAAAACATTTCTTATAAACATAAGCAGCTAACCTGTGAGTCGCAATTTGCCCATCCCTACCTGAGTAAAATGAACACATTCACGCAAATCTTTCTACATAAATATTGATGGCAGCTCTATTTCGCAATAGCAAAAAATCAAAAATGACTCAAATATCCAATGAAATGGTAAATAAGTAAACTATTGTATACCCATTTAATGAAATCTCAAAGGCACTATCCTGAACGAAGTAATCCAGACTAAAATGTATATACGATTGCACACTATGTGGAAAAGGCAATACTCTGCGGATTAGGAAATAGAACAACAGCTGCCAGGGAATGGGAGGAGGGTTCATAGCTACAAAGGGCATCACAGACATTAGGGCGTCTTTTTGGCATAATAGAAATTGTTCCTGGGCTGGGGGTTTGGCTCAGTGGTTCCACTGTCTCTCTCACAAGTGCAAGGACTGGAGTTCGATCCCTGGTACCAAAACAAACAAACAAAAATAAAA